CGTCCCGCCGCGGCCGCTGATGTCCCGCTGTGTCCCGCAGGTGCAGGAGAACATCGAGCGGTTCTTCACCCGCTTCGTGGAGGAGGGCAAGGCCACCGTGCGCCTCCGGGAGCCCGCCGTGGACGTCTGCCTCAGCAAGGTGGGTGCCGGGCCGGGACAGGCCTGAGGGAACGCTGCCCCTGCTCCCGTGTGTGGGGCGGCGGGACGGGCCCCGGTGGGTCCCTGGGCTTGGGGTCTGTCTGGCAAATCCACTCAGCGACTAAGTCTTGTCTTCTTGGCCTCCTACAACTTTGGCAGAGGAGGTATAAGCGAGGTGACTTCGTGTGTCCTCAACAGGTTACAACAATAAAGGGAGATATAAAGAAACCAGCTCATTTTGTGCCGGGAAGGCTGAGCCCCAGCTTCTTTGGGTGGCGTTCTGCTTCTCCCTTCTTCTGCTCCCTCTGGAGAAGCAGAGAAGTCCCATTTTTCCTGTAGTTCTCCACCTTTTATTTAGGCAGCAACAAGTCTTTTCATCTCTCTGATACAGCCTCTTGCCCTTTGGCCATGAGTTCCATCAAACAGGTCATTGCCTACAGTCTTTCTGACTAAAAACGGGGAAATACTTATGTTTTAGTGGATAAGCAGCGCACACACTGTGGTTTTTGGAGCTGGAGATGCAGGATGTGGAGCAGCACAGTACAGGCACCATCTCTCCTTCATGCCCAGCTGATAGTAGGAGTCACCACTGTATTTGTTCACAGTTCATAAGGTATTTGGAAGCTGTTAAAATGTTAAAATCACACATTAACCGTCAGTTTTTACATTGTTAACTTCTTTTCTGTGCCTGTTCCTGTGGAAAAGGAAAGCAGGACAGCTCTTCTAAAACCATAGCTTTAGGATGTGTTAATAAAAGCAAATAATGCTGATATTTTTGTTTGGGAAAACACTTTGGCTTTCCGTTGCGACTGTGATTGTTTGGCCCGAAGGAGATCCTTTAGTAATTTTGGTGATGTCAGACTGAGCAGCTGTAATTGGGAGCGGTGAAGTTTCCTCCTTCAAAAGGGGAATGTTTTCTCAAAGGGCCAGGCTGAGGAGAAACGCAGGGGGGTGTTTAAACTGCAGCTGCAACAGGCACCCACAACAGTCTTGCCAGAGCACAGTGGAGCTCGGGGCAGGCTGCAAGGTCTGCTTGAGAAATGAGGTGAATTAATCTCTACTCGGGACAGTTGTATACTGAAAAGAAAAAAATACGACCCAGCAGGAAAGAAAAAGCTCTTATTTTATTGGGGATAAGGCTAATAACTGAATATAAACCTCAATACAGTTGTAGCAGCCTAAGATTTGGAGACTGTGGCTCAGGAAACACCTTCTTTGTGCAAGAGGGAAGACTGTGGTGGTAAGGAAAGCAGCCTTAATTTGATGAAGAGAGCACTTTGCCTTACAGGGTTAAATAGAAAAGGAAGAGTGTGTGTCCAAATTAAATTAAGTTTTTCTTGTCAGAAGCAAATGTGTTCTGTATAAGTGTGTGTCCAGATCAAATTAAATGTAAGCTTTTCTTGTCAGAAGCAAATGTGTTCTGTATCGTGCAAAAAAGAAAACTCACGTGTGTTGCATTAGATCTGGAGTAACTTCTTATTCTGCATCCTTTCTCCGAGCATTTCTGCTGAAGTCTGAGAAGTCAAAAAGTTTTCTCTTGGAGCAAAGGTACAAAAGCAGCCTGTTGTGATAATTGATGTTCCTCTTAAATGTTCCAAATCCGGAAACCCCATTTTAAGATTATTAATAATTTTTCCACCCTGTTCCTGCTAGTCTGTGATAATTTCATTACAGAAAGGCTATTTAACTCCCAAAAGCTTTGTGGAAAAGAGATTTCCAGGTGCGTCTGTGCTGACGGCGTGCAGCTCCCGTGCAAAACCCACCCTTTGTGCTCTGCCGGGCGCTGCCATTTGCTGCGTTCAGCCACATCAGAAAATAAGTTGAGAAACACAGGTCTGGAGCATTCAGCCCTGGAGCAAAAATAATAAAATCACTGTGGTTTGTTGTTTTTTTTCCTTCAGCAAGCCCGTGCCTGCTGCATTGCTGAAATCCATGTAATCTCCAATTGCCTTGTCATCATTCATTTAGTTCTGAAACCAGGGATTTTTAAGGCGTTAAACACGTATTAACCTCTTTTCTTGACATCTTTTTTGTGGTTGAGACTTCAGACTTGTGGCAGAAAACTCTGTCCCGAGCGCTTCCAACTGATTCTTTGCCTTTTTTTTCTCT